TATATATATGCTGCCATATGCGTTTTTGTACTAGGCTACATGTTTGCTATGTCCTGCTGGAGTGGGACATTATTTGTTTGTGTACAATCTAATACGGTATCAGAACTTTATATATTTATACTTCTCATTCAAACAAAATTAAATTCACTCTATCTAGGAGGCACAATTTATATAGATATTATTTATTTTTATGATAAGTTGGAATGAAAACAAGCAAAAATTAAATAAAAGTAACAACTTTCTACTTCTTGCCTCTTTTAAAAATGTAAGGAGTAGAACGTACAGATAATTGTGTGAAAACGTAAGAAGTAGAAGTAAAAGTAGGCTGAAAAATAATTACTCAAGTAAAGTACAGATACCCAAAAACAAAGTATTTGTACTTAGTTACTTTACAACACTGGGCCTGGGGCAGATCCAGAACTTGCTGGGGGGGATTGTGTATCTGGTCTGGTAATGCCTTGGGGTCTCCTAGGTGGTGCTGGAGCAGGATGTCTGGGTTTCTCTATTGAACCTGTTGCCTCCAAGACCCTATTACAGCTCAGTGGTAGAAGATGGAGACGACAAATCTGTCAAAGCTATAATTCTTCTTTTTCAGTGAGATAATTCAACCCCCACTCATGTTTAGACACACAAATTATAGATTTGTCCAAACTTTTATGTTTCAATCAGGTTTAAAGGAGACATATGCTTTTAAATTCTTCCTTTTCACTTTTAAATCATTTACCTGAGGTCTACATAAAGTGGAATTGCAACGCTTTGGTCTGAACTCCTCCTTATCGTAACTCCACAAACTCCTCTTTCACCTCTTTTCTGGGGTGTGTCTCAAAGCAGCTCATTTTGATGCTGTCTCTTTAAATCCAAACAAGGTGCTTCACACCCCGCCCTCCTCCAGCTTCCAGACTGGTTTATTCTAGCTTGATAGTGCGTTTTACGACTATATAGCTCTAGCGCAACAACTTTTTATTTCCAAATTAATTAAAAGATGTCAACAACAAATGACCTGTTCATCCAGCCTCACATGTTGGAGCCAGTCTGACCCAAAGCCAGGGGAGAATGAAAACAACTAAATTGTAGTAGAAGTTCCATTGAAAATACTGTGATGAAATAGTTCAGAAAATTATATAGAAAAAACTGAAAAAGTTCACAGATATGACCCAAACAATATAAACATATCTATGCAACATCGGCAGAGACTAAAGGTAAAAAAATGTGGATCTTGCATGATGTGTCCCCTCTAAAGTGACTCACCTGCTCCATGAAGATGAGCATGGCTTCTCTGTTTTTCTCCCACTCGTATGCCAGCTCGCTCTGATGAGGAAACTTGTCGCAGCCCAAGAAAACAGACAGCTCAAAGCAGTTTGTGTGCAGGTAGCTGAAGTCATTCATACCTGAAAAGAAAGCCACATTGAGAACCTGTAGTGCACATATTGTCCACCAGGGTGCGTCAAACGCACGTGCAAAACAAACGGTTTTGGTTTCTACTCACTGCCTGTGACTGGATTCCACTTGGCCCTGTTGACAATACCGAGTGTCCCTGTAGGCGGGTCTCCGTGGCATGACCCGCGGAAATTGTGCGTCATGGTCAGGTGCGTGGAGGCGTAGGAGACAGCTAACCACCTGAACAGGGACTCGTCTGGAGTCACCCGGGGCTCATCTTCAGGCTCAGTGTACTGGTAGCCAGCACCCCTTTCTCTGTCTTCCTCCTCTTCCTCCCTGTGTTCATAACCCTGATTGTAGCCATGCTCGTAACCGTGCTCATAGACATCACGGTCATGGCCCTGATTATAGCCACGATCATGGCCCTGGTCATAGCCACGATCATGGCCCTGGTCATAGCCACGATCATGGCCCTGGTCATAGCCACGATCATGGCCCTGGTCATAGCCACGATCATGGCCATGGTCATAGCCACGATCATGGCCATGGTCATAGCTGCGGTCATATCCTTGGTCATAGCCGTGGCCTCGCCACTCCTCTTCTGGCTGTGCATATCCTCGACTTCTCCAGTCCTCTTCAGGCTCCTCTTGGTAGCCCCTTCCCCACTCCGTCACATCAAACTCTTCCTCCTCATACCTGGAAGTAAGAATTGTATACAGGTTGAGCTTTTTAACACAACTGTGACTAATGATGGAGCATTGGGGGG